TATGAACAACCGTTCCGATACCAATTGATGGCCCCATGTGAGGTAAAAGTTTGGGGGGGGGGGGGTAGACTTTCAAATCCTTTTGATTTGTCAATCATATTTCCTCTAACAGAGTGAGTTCCAATATCTTTTGGGAGACATTGTAACATTCAGCGGAAGTCTTGACCTCATAAGTGTGACACTTTATAGTAACAAAGGTCTTGACCTCATAAGTGCTACCTCCTTGAAGTACAAATGTGTTAGCCAAAATCAGCTATCTCAAGGAGCAGGCTGCCAAACCTTAAGGAGCATGCTGCCGAACTTCAAGGAGCAGGCTTCCGAACCTGTAGGAGCAGGCTGCCGAATGAGGTTGCTACTTCAGTGTTAAAGACACAATGAAGAACTCTTATCTAAAACATTGTTGGCTTTTTAGAACAGACTTAAACACATAGTTATGAAAGATTGTGACCTACTTAAATATAGATCCTTTGAAGTACCAAGAATAAGGAACTAGGAGATTGGGATGAAGTAAACTGAATAGATTACTGATCAATATTTTGAAGAAGCTGTTCGACTGGAAAGTTGTGAAGGTGAGTGAGAACTGTTGTGTGTAGTGGGAACTGAATATACAAGGTGACACAAGATATATTCTGGTTCAGATGTGGTGTAATCCTGCTACATCCAGTCTCACCCTATTTCAGATGAATTTCCACTAAATGAATATACTCATTACATTTAGTGCCCAATTTATCCTTTGCCGCAGGCATATATTGTGAGTTTTTTCACAAGGAATTTGAACAGGGTATAACTCAAAAATATAAGTTATATTACGATTTTAACTAATAGGCTAGAATATTTAATATTCAATATTAATAGATCAATAATAAAATAGGACTATTCATGATTCCCTTATTGAATCAAGTACATATTGGTTTCAAATTATAAGAAAGAATATTATGGTCGCTCTTTAGTATGAGATTTTGAGTCTCACGTGTCTACCATTTCACCATCAAGGCATCTTCAAATAATTTACATCGGTAAATAACTTTTGAAAATATTTTTTTTTATTTTATTGGAAAGTGAGCAAAATTTTAAATCCTATATTCATAGGAAACATAAGGTCCTATCATAAAGCTTTGGATAGGATAAATTAAGGAGTTGTGGAGATTGCTTACTAGACCAAATATTTTGATGAAAAGGGTAATGAGTTTCATCCCATCAACCTATTCTCAATTCAGAGGGGTCATAGAAAGAACAGGTTTAAAATCACGATCAATTCCGTTTCAAAGTTTTTTCGATTCATCATTCTAAGCAAGAGACAACAAAAGCCTATGTAATTCACAATTTAGATATAAATGGAATTATAATACAGGGATATGCAAGTTTTTTTTTTCTCGAAAATGAAAAACTTTATTAAAAAGAAGAAGAGTACAAAACGCTAATGAACATGGGTACTAGCCCAAAGCTAAAGTAAAGAAACAACAAGCTCTAGTGAACAAAGAAACCAGCACCAAAGCACCACCCTGCAGATGAAATGAGAAGCCCAAACAAAACATCCACCGACCACCAATAAGGTGTCCCTAAATATCACGTTTTCGCAAACAGAACCCCAAGAAGAACCAAGAAGCCCAACAAACATTGAGAAATGAACCCTACTTCTTCTCAGTAAACTTTTTTTCCTTTTTTTCCTTAAGGCGAGTACTCCTTCTAGGAACCAGAATAGAACTAGATGAACTCCACTTGGGATCCGCAATAGAGTAATTGGGATCTGCCATACGGTCTAGCAGTTCACGGTCTGTAAGAAGCCTTCTTATAGGTGTTGTTTCTAATTCCTCCCCCAACCCCCTCGAACTTGGAGGAAAGGATACCTGAAGGGGTGTTACTTCATGAATATCCTCCATCTGAACATCAATCTTCCAAGATTCCAACTGTAGCCCCCCCTTGAGAAATCGTTTCTAAGACCTTTTCGACTTTATCTTCTTTCTCCTCTATTTCCACCAAAACACTATGCATATTCCCTTTTCCTTCTTTAATGTCTTCAAGTTCACTATCCTTGTCGTTAATTGCAATATCCCTTGGCGTTGTGACTATACTCTCAGGCACCAAAACAACCTCCCTCAAAGAGTTGCTAGAATTACCCTCAAGATTAAGTAAATCCTCTCGGAAAAGTAGAGAGGATATAGATGTAAACTCTTCAAAACAACATTCCACCATACTGAAACAGTAGGCTCCAGAGTCCTCAAAATCTGTCCTTATATGGCCCTTTGAAATTTGACACAACATATCTTGTTGATCCAATAAAGTAGAGGAAAACAGTTTGAATCCATCTCCTTTTTGTCCTTCAGGAATAATAATTGTTTTTCTACCCTCATGCCTCAAATCAACCAAACGAATAAAGCCTCCAAATTCATTTTTCCCAAATGACATGTGAATTTTACGATATCCTTCATTTCTAACGAAAGTCGAAAAATCACCAGATTTAATCAAACTAAATGAGTTACATAACCAATCTACACCATCCTCATCTAGAGAAATTGTTAGAGAGGAATAGCCCTTAATCTGACTTATATGCATAATTGAAGGAGCCACATCAAAGCAAAAAAGTTTACTCTCTATTTTAATTTTCGACGTCGATAAAGATGAAGAATTTGCTGAATTCTTTCCAGAATTGTCTCCGTGTTTGCGTCGATCATACCTTAGCTTTGCCGATTTCCGAGGGAAAGTTTCTGATCGACCGCCTACAGGTCTGGATCGATGCCCTTCCCAGCCTCTGTTTTTGTACCTGAAATACGCCCCCGTTTTTGCACCTATGTTGGATACCCATCGGTGAGAAAGACTGCCTTTGGCTTCAGTCGATGAGAGATTGTCTGTGAATCTGTTGAAGCTTCGGCGACGCTGGCATGCAGATTCCCGTTCAAAGAATGCCCTGTGTCGGAAATCCCTTGATGCAGATTCCCGTGGTTGGAGGCCCAACCCCCATCGCGTGCCAGGAACCCTCCATGCCTTGAAGTGGTATCTACCAAAAGCTCTCCCATGATGCGTTTGGGGCTGCCGCCAGCCTGAGATCGGCAATTGCACCCCTGTGGCACCCCTCATCCCCAAATGTCTTCCTCTTTTTGATTTTAGAAATGTCGGACAGTGAGTTCACATCTCCTCCAGTGACTACACCATCACGCCGTACAGGGATATGCAAGTTATGCATGAACGTAATGCTCACAATTTCCCCCACGCGGCATTGCTCCGTCAGGCTTTCGCCCATTGCGGAAAATTCCCCACTGCTGCCTATAAAACCGAGTCATCTAAATCTAAATAGATCCAAATGGTCAACTGAGACAAAGATCAACTTTTAGTCAAAGTACAAGAAAGGACAAAAAGCAATTTTATAAAAAAAATTACCACCTCATAATTTTTTTTGTAACATTATGTTTTACTAAAAGCAAGTATATTATATTCTAAGAAAGCATTGAACAATCACCCAACTTATATACTCAACTCTTCGGATAAAAGATTGAAATATCTTATCTTTATCAAAGCATTGAAATGAGGAATACAAGTTGAGGTGAAGAAACAATATGTGCCACAAAATGACAAAAACCAACCATGTTGCCTTTCAGTCAAGTAGAAGAATCAAGTAGATCAAAGCAACGGTCAAGATTGAATCTCTTCAACCAATGGAAGACCTTCAACATCTTAGTCTTTAAATACAGGAGTGCATGAAGAACAAATGTGGAGCTAAGAAGGAAGATGAGATCATTCGACGTATTATTATTATTACTATAATAATAATAGTAATAACAACAACAACAACAGCAACAATAACAATAATAATGTAATAAACACTCAATCAGATCAGAAAGATTCAGATCAGATAAGAAGGATTCAGATCAGAAATATTCAGATAAGTTCAGATCAGATCAGAAAGATTCATATCAGAAAGATCCAGATCAGATCTGAAAGATTCAGATCAGATCTGAAAGACTCATATCAGATCACAAAGATTCAAATCAGAAAGATTCATATCAGATCATATCAAATCAGAAAAATTCAAATCAGATCATATATTTAAAAATTCAAATCAGACGAAGAGAACAGTTTCCAAGAGTACTTTTAGGGGGTGTTTGGATCTGATTCTCAAAACTGATTCTGCTCCTTCAAGGAGCAGAAGCAGAAGCTGGAGTGTTTGGGTGAAATTCCAGAAGCACTTCTGGTGCTCTAATTTAGAGCATCAGTTTTCAGAAGCTGGTACCCCAAGCTTCTAAAAAAACTAATTCTGATTTTTGCTTTAAAAAAGAAGCAGAAGCAAAATCAGTTCTAAACACCCTTACACTTTTACGACTTCAAGTCTTTCTATTAATAGAAAAAGTTTAAGAACAAGACACAAATACTCCCTCCGTCCCTTATAACTTTGCCAACTTTCCTTTTTTGGTTGTCCCAAAAACTTTGTCACTTTCCATTTTAATCAATCAATTTGTGGCTCATGTTATTTCTCTCTCCTCTGCACAAATCTCTACCACACAATTTTTACTTTATTATTCTACGTGCCGGTCAAACATGGCAAACCATTAAGGGACGGAGGGAGTACGTTATAAAATTGGAACTGACCGGAAAAAAAACAAAAAAAAACTGGAACTGACCGGATCCATTTTTTGGAACCCGTTGACCCGTCCCAAACCCATCCAATGGTCGTTAACTCGTAAAATACGACAATAGAGAACCGGTGGCCCAGCTAGGCGGGGGCGCCGGAATCCCGGCGATAAAACTAAAGATACTTATGGGAAAGAATATGTACAAGTCTAAATAAGGATCTATCTAATCCCAGACAAATTGGTAAAATCACGCCAAACCAAGTTCCTAACCATTACCAACCCCAGACACTTCGTCCTGATCTCTCAACCGGATTTCAGACAGCAAGCGTCAGCGCATCACTGGGAAGCATAACTAGGAATCTTCATAAAAAAGGTATGCAATACATGCAGTAATAAAATCTTGCATAATCTTGCATGAATGGTGTATGGTTGAACCTGAATTTGATTTGAATTGCGTATATGCGCCGATTCTATTCTCTTTTTGTGGGTTTGTATCTTAATCAGTCGATTATTCTAATCTTTTTAGTAGTTTTTAATCAAACGAAACTGTGTATTCTCCTTTGGTTGTGAGGCGCTGTGCTACTGAGAGTAAACACGTCTCATGGGATAACAAATGTCTATTCTAGAGAGAAGAGGAAAGTGATACGGAGTTCAAGACTATAGATCAAGTTGTTTTTTCTAGAAAATTATTGAATTGAGTCGTGAAGGAACATAATACTATTCTGTGTTGCATAGGCCGGGGTAAGAATGGGTACCCCATTTTGGGGTACCAATAGCATTTCTCTTCTATTTAACTATTAATTGTGGCTGCATTAAGAGTGTGAATAAGGAAAACAAAACTATTAGTGGAGACATTTGGCAAGTTTCAAACTTTAATGCAATAATGCATTGTTGTTAAAAGTATTATAGTTGCCGAATGTGGATATGTTTTTGGAGGTACATTGATTCTTTTGTTTCTAAATACATAGTAGGATGTGTGTGCGTGTGCAACCTTGACCGGTCAACCCATCCTTGACCGGACTGACCCACCTGATTTGGTCTAATCCTTGAACCGGTCTCCACACTGGTTCACCTTGTATTCCAATTCTAACAACATAGATTTATTGTACTCCGTATACCGTATATATACATAATATACAAATTGTGTACTGCATTCTATTAATCAGAATACTCTGACATTCACTATTTATATAACTTTGATCTTGTAATTAAAATAGATCATATTACATAGACATTGTTATAAAAAATACAAAAATGACACAATGATTCAAAATGAGAATTCAAGCGCGCAAACAAACACATCACGCAAATGACACAATTTAGAAATCTGGAAGCTTAACCATCATAATCCTCAGGACTTGAAGGTCCTTTGGAAGAATCATATATCTTAAAGACTTATCACAATCATCCCTCTCATCATCACTATCAAAGTCCTCCCATTCTTGTAGGTGCAACTGTGTAAAATACCTAGAAGAAAGATAGCAGCTTTTCGACATCTTAAAGCAGAAGGTTCGGCGTTTGTGAGTTGTTGACTACTCTGTGCCGGAGAAGAAAGTATTTGATAGATCATCATTATCATTACCCCAGTGCCACAAAGGCTCCCACCTACGGTGGGGTAAGAAGGGGTCGGATGTATGCAGCCTTGCCTCTGTACTAAAACCCTGTTTCCGGATGACCCATAGTGAAAATCGCGTCGAAAATTGCATGGACTGACTGCTGCTACTTCATAACTTGTAACCGCAGGCAGTTTAGTAAGGGTTGGTTTGCAACTACTTTTTAAAAAGCACTTCTGAGCTTTTGGCTTTAAAAAAGCACTTATTTTCCCAAACACTACAACTTTTATTTTTCTCGACTTCCGCGTCAAAAGTGCTTTTACTTTTTCTATTACACAAAAAGCACTTATTTTACCAAACACTACCCACTTTTACTTTTTAAAATCACTTTTTTCTCAAACACTATCAACTTTTATTTAATCATTTCTCCCCATTTCATTAAAAAAAGCACTTTTTTAGAAGCAGAAGCTGTTGCAAACAGACCCTAAGTCATCTTGCTTTATTCCATCATATTCCCAAGCAAAAAAATAGTGAGTCTTTGGCTCCATTACAAATGATGGAAATAAGAAAGTATTTGATAGATGCTTTCAGTTATTTAGGTTTATAAAGTATATAATGCATGGGCCTGTTCTTAAATTACTCATTGGGCCTTTTGTTTATTACAGCCACACTGTAAAATGAAAGAAAAAAGAACCTGCCTCAAAAAAATATCGTGAGGCACACGTCAAAGTGTAAGTCCTCACATCTGAGGTGTAAGCCTCTTATCTCTCAAAAAGGGCTTAAGCCCCAGTTCCTGTTCTATGCGCCTGAAGCGAGGTGCGCCTTTTAAACCATGATTTTAAGTTTACCACCTTAATTCCTTACTAATAATACATTCAACCACTGTGAGTAGTGAGTACTATATATGTGTGTGCGTATTGTTTAATTTTATAAAACAAATTGAAAGTGAAGTACTCTGTGTTTTTATGTCCTTCCTTAGGTGTTAATATGTATTTTTTAAATCTTAACTAATTTAAGGAGAAAAAGAAACCATTTAGTTTTCGATAAAAAATATTGCAAAAAAGTCAGTAACTACGCTAGTAAACTTACCGACCAAACATGCTTAATTCGATATCACATTCCACCACCTCCCTTAGCACCTCCGTCTGTCCCACCCGAAAATAATCCCTCTGTTGTTTCTACTCCATTCGTTTGCTCACCGGCTTTTGCGTTCAACTGCAGTGCTACCCATGGGATGATATACTGTTTGCATGGGAAGTCGATGAAAGAAGCATTGGGTGGAATTGTGGAAATCAAAGTCTATGATTGATCCAAGTGATGCTAGGGCTTGAACCCAATTTCCAACCGAACTGTATGACTGACCCTTTAAATTGTTTTCAGACTCATTTTACTTTGTTTGCAGTTTGCACATACTAACTCTGGTTGTACTGTTAACATGCACTGACTACATATATATAAGCCGCCTTCATGATATCTGGCTGCATATATTACATTGTCCCCACTATCTTTTAGAAATACTTTTATACTGTGGAAATGGAAATTACATCTGTTGGTTTCCATATGACTTCACTGTCATTTTTTCCTGCTGCTGTTACAGTTGCTTCTTGTTCTGGTTCATATATATGTATACTATCATCAGTATTTTTTCCCATTGGTTTTGATTCATGCGTACAGAGGCTTACCCTTTCATAAGTAGGAATTCTTGCTTGTCTGCTCTTGGATTTGGGAATATAGCACATCCTATTTGCCAATGAAACTATTCGCTCGTGAGGCTATATATGAGTTTAGATCACTAATCATCTAATGATGATTTTTCTGGCTATGGTAGTCCCAGTTTTGCATGTCAATCTAGTATAGAACGTATTTTCAGTTGGGGACCCATAATACTGGGGCTGGAATTAATTTCATGTTAATTTTGGCATTCAACATTGAAATTATCCCTTCTACTCCATCCAGTCAGATGCTTAAGGCTAGCTATGATTGAAACTGAGTGTGGATTAGTAATATAATCTTATCCTCGAAAGATTAGTATTTAGCAGCATTGTAGCAATTGGGCGAAGGCCATATCAGATTGATTAATAGTTTTACAATGGCATTCACTAATAAGGTATTGGAAATATTTAATCTATCATTTCTTCAATGGATGCATAACAGCCTGTCAGCCTGGTTCTAGACTTTTGCTGATGTTAAAGCAATATAGTGGAAGAATGCAATGCCAGTGGTGAATGATGTTGTAGGTCTTTCTCTTGTATGTTGAGTTATATCTAAAGAGGGAGTTTTTCACAAAGCTGTGTCTTCAACTTTTTTTTCCTTTTTCTCTTTTCCTCGTGTGGAAGATTGATCCTGTTTTCCCTTTAATCTTCTCACCTTCTTTATTTTTTATATCTTTTCCATCTTATATTTTTTTATCTTATCTTATCATTTTTTTTTATCTTTCTTATCTTTTTTAGCTCTGATTTCATATGTCGATTCATGTTAGCCGGCCTCAAACTCTCTTGGGACTACGGCTTGGATGTTGTTGTATGTGTCTTCAAGTCAGGACAGTCATTATCTTAGGAAGAAACTTTAAAAAACACGAATTTTTGAAGTTTTAATCATATCATTTTGCATTGGGAGACTGCTGAAGTCTTGTAGCTCTTTATCATGTATGTTGAGTTATATCTAAAGATGGAGTTTTTCACAAATCTGTGTCTTCAACTTTTTTTTCCTTTTTCCCTTTTTCTCTTTTCCTCGTGTGGAGGATTGATCCCGTTTTCTCTTTAATCTTTCTCTACTTCTTTATCTTTTTATCTTTTTCATCTGATATTTTTTTTATATCTTATCTTATCCTTTTTATCTTTTTTTAGCTCTGATTTCATATATCGATTCATGTTAGCCGGCCTCAAACTCTCTTGGGACTACGGCTTGGATGTTGTTGTATGCGTCTTCAAGTCAGGACACTCATTATTTTAGGAAGAAACTTTAAAAACCACGAATTTTTGAAGTTTTAATCATATCATTTTGCATTGGGAGACTGCTGAATAGTCCTTCCTTTTCTGTTTATTTGTCTGCGTTGACCGAGTCTCACAATTTTAGTAAATGTGTATTACTCCCTCCGTCCCCTTTGAAATGTCCCGTTTTACTATATTGGGATTTCCCTATTTAATTGTCTCATACCTTATTTGGTAAAGTTTGTGTGGCTCAAAATCATTCTTACTTTTTTTTTTACTTTATCAATTAATATCAACCACACAAACCCACTTTTCTTAAAACTCGCGCCACCCTCCTCCGGGACATTTAAAAGGGGATGGAGGGAGTATAATTTATGAACTGATCAATACTTTTACTCCCGCAGTCTTTTTTATGTATCCTATTTCGGACTGATTGAAATCAAAGTTAAATCTCCCATAATAATATTTCAATGTGTATTAATAATTTAATATCTAAAGTCTCCATATTCAGAAAGCACACTAAAACTGAATATTAATGTATTAGAAATTCGATACAAAAAATCAGAGAATAAAAAGGGAATTAGGTTGACTGCATGGATAGTGAAAGTGACACACAAAATGAGACAGGGGGAGTAATACTTTGCCTAAAAGTCCCTTGTTATAAATCAATATCTCTTTTTTGTTCATCTTGGGATAAGGTAAATTGAATTCATATTGGTAAAAATAGTTAATGTGCAAAGATTATATAAATGGAGAGATTGAAAGGACAAAGGACAATAGGCCAGTCTAGAGAGGTAATTATGAATAGAATGAATGGGTGCTAGATAAAAACTGAGTTTCATCATATTCTTGTACTGTAGTATTGAGGTGCTAGAATCTACTATCTTTTTGCATCCACAGATTGTGCGAGTAATAGCATCCCTATTTGTATGTTTCAAGATACAATGCAATTAAGTCCACATAGACACAACCAATTGTATGCCACCATTGTAAAATCTGCGCCTTGGCACTAGACTGTTGGAGGCCAAACTTTTTTCCTGGGTTCTGCCCTGCATAGTTTTCATACTAGGCGTTAGTCCCAGTCTGCCGCTAAGCTAGCCTCTTGTAGTCTAGCGCTTATTACAACATTTTATATCAGAATGGTGCATTGAG